TTTCATAGTCATCGTCTCCTCGTGAAATGGATGGTGGAGTCCAACTCAATTATCAATATAAACAAGGGTTTGGTTATAAAGTAATCATGTTATGGACTTTAAAAAAAAAAAAAAACTCCCCAAAAGCAAGCACGTGTCTTATAATGATATGAGAATTAATCCGTCTCGATTAAAATGGGCAGATAAGAATTTGAAGTTTTCAACAGTAAAAGTGTAAAACAACTACCTGCACGAAATTATGAGCGTGTTTGATTTCTGTATTAAAAATGTTTTTCAAAATTTTAAAAAAATAAACTCATTTAGTTAATTTTTTTGGATTTAAATAATTTTCTAAGTTGTTCTTATTTTTGTTCTTAAGAAATATAAGAAAATTCTGGCAAAAAATAAAGAAATATAAGAAAATGAAAACAGAGTTATTTCCGTTTTCTTTGTTTTTCCCCCCTGAAACACATTACATTTATCTATTGAAAATCATTCGCTACTATCGCTTATTGTCGCTCGGAAACATCAACCACCACTAGTATTTAAATTGCCGTTGGCGACCACCACTTCATACTATTCGTACAGAAAAATTACTATTCTTGGTCTATATACTTTAATTATGGTTTTTTTAGTTCATAAAATTTATTTTCATTGTTCGTCATCTCTTTTATTTGATATGTCCTCAACATTAGTCTTTTTAATTTGAAAAATTCTTATGACAAAAAACCAAAATAAACTGCAAGAACTAAAAGCAACACATTAAAATATAGGAATTTATAACGGTATTTTTCCTATTCTAGATATAGATGTGTATACACATTTAATTGGTGGTACCAGCCACCAATTGTTAAAAAAAAACATTTTAAAAAAATTTGAACTATTATAAAAATAGGATACTGATTTTCAGCAGAAACCCCGGTGCATTTCATATTAAATATTGAATATCGATTTTCAGTCCTCTTTCTTTGATCATTGTCGATCTCGCTACTCAAAATTAAATAATAAAGACAAAATTTCCAGCTTTTATCCTCTGGGGAACCAATACGTAAATAGCTGTCGTCCCTGTAAGTTTTAAGTGGCTCTATAATTATCAGAGAAAGAGTTCATCATATATCGATCTAATTAGAGAGAATGAAGAAATGCATTCTTATATTTCTTACATTCACCTCATTGCTTAGCCTCGAGCTAGCTCTTGCCGACTCGAGGCACAGCAGCAACAGCAACAACAAGAACATCAGTTATGTTAAAGATCCTATGGAGATGAGTTTCTCTATTGATCCTCTCACAGTCTCTCTGGTTACTGGGATGAGGACTGTTACGATTGGTACACGTAATCCAAATAATAAAGCTCTTGTGGATGCCCTCCTCAAAAACAATATATTAGCTAGCTGCCTCCCTCCCAAAAGTCCTCCGTCAACTAATAACAACATTGTGGAGTCTATACCAAAGGTTGCTATGGAAAATGATCATGATGTGTGTGTGTGTAATTCTCTCCTTCGCTTCACATATATTTCCATTTTCTGTTCAATTTGTTTCTTGTACGGACGTTTGTGTTTCAGGGAATTAATATATATTCATGCTTCTTTTCTTCATTTATGATTTTTCAGCACCATGTAATGATGCTTGAATAATCCTTTTTATGTAGACTTGCATGTTCTCACACGCACGCAGTTTGTATTCACTCTAGCTATCTCGATTTATCTACTTAATCGATCGGAGTCATGTTATAATTATTAATTAGCCCTGTGCCTGTTGCCTTTCTAATAATGCCTAAAATTTCAATACTTCAACTGATGACCTGAGAAATTTCATTTAATTCTTTCAAATGAAGGGTTGAGATTTTAGGAAGATGAAGCAGAGAAGAGGGTAGCGAATGTCTCAAATCACTATATGTATGTTTTTATCTTAATAATGCGTAGAAAGTCTAAATCAGATTTAAAATGTCTAATATCGTGATGTATTTTTTTAAAAAAATTGAAATAAATATAACCCTGAATGGAAAATTAATTAGCTCTTTGTTTCGCCCACTCCCAATCTCGCCAGGAAATAATCAATAACGAAAGAGATTAGGCTCTGTCATGGTCACCAGTCTTGATAGGCAAAGATCATAGGCAATACTAGAGAAAAATATGATATTCAAATGGAAATTACTCATATATATAAACAACTGAAGATTATAATCATGTTTGGCAAAAGCATTAATTCATTGGGAGTGAAAGAACAGAGTAGAAAGGTCAGATAAGAGAAGAGCAGTCATAAGGAGATAATTCATCAATATTCTTTTATGCCTTCCAATGCACATTCTTCCTCTATATATCATAAAATGGAGTTGGCTTCTCTCCTTTGAGAGAAGCCTTCCTTGCCTCTACTTTCAGGCAAAGGCTTAATGGACCGTTCAAATTCAGATTTAAGATTTTCATTTTTTATTTTTATTTATATTTTTAAAATAAAAATTATAAAAAAATTATAAAAAAAATTAATAAATATACTTATCAATCTAACAATTCAAATTTAATATAGATAGTCTGAAATTAATATTAAAATTTTTTAATAAATTTATTGTTTTATTCAAAATATATTTACACTATCCAGAATATATTTGAAAAGTTAATTTAAATTTTTTATATTAAATTTGAATCGTCCATATTATTAAATATGGACTGTCAGATTGATAAATATATTTATTAAAATTTTTTTAATTCTTATATATGTTTTATTTTAAAAATATAAATAAAAAATAAAAAGTAGAATTATTATATCTAGACAGCTCAGATTTTTCTCTGCTCAACAGAGAGAAGCGAAGTCCATATGATACCCTATATCATTAACCCTTGTGCTGGCCCATTCGAATTTCTCCAAAGCCCATAATCCAATTTCTGCCTCTATTCTTATCAGCCTCTAAAACACAATTTGGACCCACTCTTATATTGGGCCTAGTTCATGACAGGCTCCGGCTCAATTATATTTGAGATGATTTTTCTACACAAATCATGCCTACATATAATTGATCAGACTGTGATATTAAATAAAAAAATATGTGACTATGTATATCTGTGCACGAGTGGGGGATTCGTATATGTTATTATGTTTTATCATCACTACACTTGCCATCTCTTTTCTCACTATCTCTTTCCGAATCTACCATATATAATTTACTTTGGTAAATGTATTCTCTGTTAGTACTAATTATACGACAAAATTCTAAAATTCTATTTGATTGATTCTAAATAAAGAGCAAAGATGGAGTAGTAGTTAAATTTTTTCAACCTACCTTTCATTAATAACAAGTTGCAATACCAAAACAAAAAGTCATTGTTGGGGTTACGACTGGTGGTGCAGGTTAATTATATAATGCTGATGAATGAAAAATTAATTAAGCTCTATATTTCGCCCACTTCCTAACTCCCCAATAATGCATCAATAACGAAAGAGATTGGTTTCCAACTCAATTACATTTTTGAGATAATTTCTCTAAATTAATCATGCCTACGTATTTGAAGACGTTGACATTAATCAAAAGAAAATGTTACTATGTATGTGTATGCGCGTGCGCGGCATTCGTACATGATATATCATCATTCTTTTATATAATTACCCTTTATTTATGAGTCAAGCTGGGTAGGATCACATTGGTGGCATATCTCGCTCAAGGAGTATTTAATATAGTTGCAGAACCAGGAATTCGTATATGACATATCATTATCATTATAAGTAAAGTTTTAAAACTTTATTTAGTGGCAAAGATAGAGTAGTTATTTTTTTTTCCAATCTTACTACTCATCAGCAACAAGTTGTTGACATGCTTTTAATTTTTTATCAACATTTTTTTATGGTCCATTTATGTGAAGAGTAAAATTGAAAAGTCACACATTTTTTTTACCAGTTTAAAACATTAGTGATCACTCTTTAACAGTAATAAAATTAGTTAATTTTACCCTATAATTAAGACCAGCTAGGAGAAGTATATATGTATGCATACCTGTATTAATAATTTATGTTGCTCTCCAAACTTAATTATGCCTAAGGAATTGCGTAGGTTATTAACATTGTGTCCTCAAGTAGGACCATGGTCCATTAGTTTCCTGTCAATATATATATACAGGGCATTGGTTTAATTGACTGATACTTCATTTATAAAAAGATTAGTGCGTTTAATTTGACGACCTTTTGAAGGTCTTCAACAAACCATGTTATGAACTTAAGTTCACCACACTTTTTAACAACCTGAATGTTCGAAGTTTATTCATTTTTCAACGAACTCATGTTGGTTGAGGTGGTGTAGACGTAGGTAGATTGAGTTTAGCCCATTGATGCCAAATAAAACTAAATCAATTCACTAACCAATATCTAAAACGAGACTACGCAGGATATATATATATATATATATATGTATATAACAAATCATGCATGCATTTACTTAATAATTTACTAAACAGATAAACAATAGTATCTTATACATAAAACAAAAAAGATGTAAATTATAGCATACACCAATATCCCACTAGCTTGACTTGATTTCTTGAAAGAGCAGTATTAAATTAGGACCACAGAAAAAAGCAAAAATGATACTCCCTCTGTTCAATAATATAAGGCATTTTTTGAGGAGTTGAATGTTTAAAAATATAAGGTATTTTTAATCTTTCAAGATATAATCATTATCTTTTTTTTCAAAAGTGCCCCTATTAATAATAACTTTATATTTATTGTAGGGTATTTAATAGGAGTAAATATGAAAAGACAGGGTTAGTTTGAAAGTAGGTAACTACTTTATTGGGAGTAAAATTCGGTTAAAAATATCTTGCATTTTTAAACGGAAGGAGTACTATTCTCCAACAAGTTACACGCTAGCATTAACATTTTCTGTACTTATATTTTACATTGGTTAAAAAACAATTGAGATAGAAAGTGTAACTTATGACAATTTTGTAAATAAGTTACATATATCTTTTGGATAAAGAAAAGTTTAAGTGAGCTAACTTCTAGAGCTTAATAAAGCTAGGGCATGCCTTTAGGCTCAATAAACACTTAAATAAGTATTTATATATCATCTATCAAAAAATTTTTTATATCAATAATAGGATTTTAATTCTACGAAACCTTATGATCATAAGCTAAATAGTTCCTGACTAGATATTGGTAACATATAAATTTTATAACTTCCTACACCCCATGAGAATGGAAAAGAGAGTGACAAGGAGGATGATTTCATTCATCTCGCGGTGAGATTATTGAGCTCAGAGAAAATCATCCTAGAATTCAGAGCCTCCTTGTCGCTACTAGAATTGGTCATCCCACTACTCTTTGATTCACTTAATGTTCCATCACTACTCGTGAATCTCACTTCACTTTCCTCATCATCTTTAACCAGCTCTCTCTTAATCAGCACATCTTCCTTCTCATTCTGGGTGCCACTCTGATCACAAATTCTCTCTCTTCCTTCTGTGCTCTCTTGAAGCTCCATTGCAAACTCCAGGCTCCCCACCACATCATTCATGGACGGCCTTTCATTCCCGTCATCAACCAAACATCTTAACGCCAAGTCACTAAATGCTTTCAAGCACTCTGGCGTTATGCTTCCTATAACCACCGAATCAACAATTTGATGAATTGTTCCTTCATGATGGCATCTTTTGACCCAATCCACCAGACTAACCTTGTTCTTCTCCACGTTACGTACCAAAGGCGGCCTTCCACACAATACTTCAAGCAGTACCACGCCAAATGAGTACACGTCAGACTTTGGAGTCAACCGTTGACGCTTGTAGTATTCTGGGTCCAAATACCCCACACTCCCTTTCACCACGGTACTTATGTGAGACCTCGACATCCCCATGGGCCCCACTTTGGACAGTCCGAAATCAGAAACCTTTGCCACCCATTTCTCATCTATTAGGATGTTCGTGGTCTTCACGTCCCGGTGGATGATATTGTGACTCGCGCCTGTGTGAAGGTAGTGCAGCCCACGCGCCGCGTCTAAGCACATTTTCAACCTTCGCTTCCATGAGAGTGGTTCATCGCAATCGGAACCATAAAGATGTTCACAAACAGTCCCACGAGCCATGAATTCGTACACGAGGATCATCTCGTCACCTTCATTGCAGTATCCGATGAGGGACACCAAATGAACATGACGAAGTTGAGAGAGCATCTCAATCTCGGTCTGGAATTCATGTGCGCCTTGTTGCGAACCCGGTTTGAGCCGTTTGATTGCAACCGGAAGTGTATCATTGTCGATGTAGCCTTTGTACACATTACCAAACCCTCCAACACCTATGATGAAGATATCGTCGAAATTATTTGTGGCTGCTTTGATCTCAGCGATTGAGAAGCATCGACATAGACCAGACGGTAGTGATGATGAACCATGGGTACTCTTGCTTTTGGATTTCTTCAATCTGGTGCTCTGTCGTCGGGAGATGAGAAAAACGACAAGGGATAGCACAAGGAAGCATGAAGCTACACCAACAATGATGGAAATCATGATTGTTTTCTTTGAGCTTTTCGGTTTTTGAGATTGGGTCCATGGAGATGGCTTGAGCCGTCGGTCAGGATTGGGACCTCCAAGATTGGAATTGGCATCACTTATTTTGAAAATCTCAATTCCATTCAATATCACATCCATGTAGCCGCTTATTTGCCCATCATCATATGGCTGCAACTTAATGGAAAGATTAAGTTTCTTCAGCTCTTGATCTTTGCTGCCCATCCCAACTGCGTAATCCTTATAGTAAGGAGTTAGAATATCTTCAGCCCACGCCACCACATCAGCGCGAGGCTCAGCCAAGTGGTCAGCAATGAAGATCTGGAAAACTCGGTCCCCAGATTTTTGAAATTTGAAGTCGATCTCACAAAAATGGAGCCTCACCATGTAATAGAACTGTGAGTCGACTTCAAACTCCCAAGTCAGGTTATACGTTACCGATCCCTCGTTCACACCATAGCTACGGCCAGTCAGATACACTCTATCTGGTGCAGTGTAGTTGGAAATCTTTGTGTATCTCAGATTTTGAGGATCGCCGAAATAAGCTGCATGACTCTCCTTATCTGGACGAGCTTGTGTCAAGTATTGCTTTTCTACGAGCCAATTACGGAACATTCCAGTGTCTTGATCAGGAGGGATTTGATTCCCAGCAACATTAATTCTGTACATCGTCTCCAGTGCCATGGTTCTTTCGATGTGGTAAGAGGTATTGCGACCAACAAAAGGCAAACCTGGGTGATCACTCGGTTTAGTGTAATAAAGATAAGTGGGCATAGAAACAACCTCGATACCGTTAATGAAAGCGTAGGCGTCGGGACTCGTGACGGTGGTGTTGGGTACGAAGGTAACATTCAGCATCAAATTTCCAGGTGGGACGTTGATACAGTATTCCCGGGTTATGATATCGGATTCGTCGTCGTCATCGTCGGCGGTGGGTGAAAAGTCTTTAAGAAGGGTAAAGGGGCCTGATTTAACTGAGAAGAAGGAAGAATAGCGATCAAAGTCGGAGTATGAAGATGCGTAAAAATAAAGACGAAGAAACTTGGGGCCATCAGTGAGCATTAGAAACGAGTATGTAAATTCAGAGCGAGAAAGGCGTGCAGTGATGTAAAGATCCTTCATGAGCGATGGACGGTTGTCGAGTGAAGATGTATTAGCCTGAACTGATGAAAATGGAGGATTTTCAAAGATTTTAAGCTGTTGAGAGTTGATATCAGGGCTCCATGTCCGGTTAGCGAGTTGAACGGAGGCGGAGGAGCCACAGTTAACTAAGATGTTATCAATGGCTTTGTATGTGTTGGAGCCACCACCGTCGACAGTGAATCTGCCATGAAGGACCAAGATTATGGCCAGAAAACTAGTGGTTGTGATATCCATCTTGAGCTGGCTATGGCTCCTTTGGGTTTCATGATCTTCTTTTAAACTCACTTTTTAACAGTGAATACGAATCGTTTACTGTTCATATAATCATTAAAAAAATATATTTGGTCATATTTTATTTTAAATTTGGAAGATAAAAAGATTGGAGTTATATATAAAAGGATATCTTAATTTTTAATTATGGGACTCTCTCCTTTTCTACCGGATTGGATTCTATGTGCATCTTAAATCCTCTCATCTATTAAGTGCCTAGGCCACGCCGTAAGCGTAAGATTTCATTAATATTAGAAAATCCATGTTTAACAGAAATAATATGAGTTAAAGGGCAGAGATTTCAACCATTTCCGTAGCGAAAAGTAGACTTGTGACTTTTGTTCGCTCTATATCTAGTGCGAAGATCTTGAGCAACTATTCAAGTGAATCAATGATCTCTATAGCACCACGTAATATATATACTTACTAGATGGATGAGAGAATTTGGGACACTTACTGAATGAAGACCCCTTTATGTCATATAAGTCCTATTTTAATTTGGATATGTCTTAGAATATAAACTCATTAAAATTTTAAACAAAAAAAGATTAGTTTTAGTCAGAACTAACAAATTGTAGATTAAAAAAATTAATTTATTTTTAATTTTAAAATTTATTTGAAACATGGATGAAGACCTTTCCCAAGTCTTTTGCTTATGAGATGTCTTGGTTCCTCGTGAGATGGCTAGAAAAGTCTTTGGGTGTAAAAGTCTTTGAACAGATTTTCAATAAAAATCTTAGCATTATCAGATATTAAAAACCGACAGCCTATCCAATAGGCAAGACAAGAAATCAAGGATCAATATGGTCCGATCGTAGTTAAAACATGGTTCAACTAGCCTTAATTAAATAAATATATGAATTGTCTTAAATAGAAACAGTAAAAAAAATGTAACTATAACATATTAAATGCTAAATGAGCAAATTACCTTATGATCTAGTAACATCATAGATCCTGAACTTATTTATTGTACAAATAATTTCTTCAACTTTTAAAAACAATATAATTTGACTGTTGCAGTTAACAAAAGTTAACTTTAATTGTTAGTTGACCAGAGAATGACGACAAAAAAGTAGTTGATCATAAAATGACCAAAAAAGACCTAAAAAATTATATAAAAGGACCAAAAATTACAAATAAGGATCCAAAAAATGTTGTAATTTTTTGGATACTTATATGTAATTTTTGGATCCTTTTTTATAATTTTTAGGTTTTTTTTGGTTATTTTATGGTTAACTAATGGTCAGAATTAAATTTTGTCAATGCTATAATGATCAAATTTCACTATTTTCAAAAGTTGAGGGAATAATTACAATAAATTAGTTTAGAGTTTATGGTGTTACTAGACTTAAAATTCAAGGGATAATTTTTTCATTCACCCTATCTTAAAAATTTTATTTCGGAAAAGAAACAACAACAAAAATTAAAATAGAGAACACTACTGATGCTGTAGCAAGATCTCCGGTTAAATATTTGATACATGATCAATTAGTTAAGCTAGCAGTTTCACCGATTTTGACTGGTTAAAAATTTTATGCATATTTCTCTGCTTTGGCTATTATTCCATATGCAACTAGTGACTAGTTCAGTGGTCGAATTTGTCAGACTAGTCTCATTTTTAACATCTAGCGACATGAAAAGGATACTAGGCAGGAAACTAGGAATCATTGGATGCTTCTGGACATATAAATCCAAGCATATAGTTCTAAAAGCATGGCCTATTTCTTTGTGTCTTTGTCAGCTCAATTTGACACTTTGCATATAATCTTCAAAGCTAAATGACAAGTTTAAGAAGTTTAATTGTAAATATGTTGTAAATGGTAAAAAATTCGTAAATTCTAGAAATTGAATTTTACTACTATGATCTTTTGATTAGTTTCAAATAGCTAGGTTGTAAATTTAGACTTTGTAAAACTTAAAATCTTAGTTGGTTGTAAAACCTCTGATTTCAATTGTAAATTTCAGGCTAAAATATACAAAATTTCCCTAAATTTAGCCTAAATTTTAGGATAAATTTTGAGGCAGTTACACAAAACTCGCCTCACTGTGAAAAGTTTAAAATTAACATCCCTAATGACATATTGCATTATTTGCATACATTTTATGATAATTTTCTTGCATTATTGTATCTTTGAAAACTTAATTCTTGCATATTTAGATATTTCCAGGGCTTTGGAATCAATTAGGGTACATTTATAGCCTAAGGGTATTTTGGTCATTTTGACAAATTTTAGGCAATTTTGGGACATTAGCTTATTTTGTGTCTTTTGTCTTCCTAAAATCAATGCAACAAGTTTGAGATTCAAATTCATTTTAAGTTATAAAGAGATATAAGTCATAGAATGTTCCAAAACAAAAACATTAATACTAGGTTGCTATGTTTTATAACTAAGAACCTTGGAAATGGCATTGTATCTAGCAATTGACTTTGAATTTTGATTTGAAATTTTGTACACATGCTTTGATCATTCTTGTGTGTAGAATTGTATATGTAAAGAAGGATTTGGATCAAGATAAAATGATCAAAAGATTGGATTATAAGACAAAGTACAAAGTTAGAAGATTTTAGAGTGGCAAATGTGCAAGAGTTGAATCAAGAAACTTCTTATGACTCTAAGCATGGAGGATTTCGACCAAGCACCTTTAATCACCCTTTAATCATCTTTTTAGAAGTGTTTAGTGAGTTTTAATCAAGTATGGAGCTGTCACACCCCAAAAATAGAGGGTGACTGGCACGGGTGCAAACTACATTGTGCATTCCCGTAAGCCTCAAAGTGAAAATTCATTTCATTTGTTTTTAAATAATCAAGTCATATAAAAATTCTAACACTTTTAATACTAATTGTCATAGCAAAGCTTCAAAGCTTTTATAAAAATTTTGATAGAACCTCATCTGTAAATAAGATCTCTCGAAAATTCTTTAACATAATTTTTTTCTCACAAAATATAATATCAATCAAGAGCTTAACTCCTTCCAACTAACAAACAATATATAAAACAAAATAAAGTTCTCGCAACAATCTATGTGGAGCAACTACTCTTTTCTCTAAATTAAAATACATAAGACTTTAATATTTACATCAAAAGGTAACAATACTAACCAAAATTTTCACCCAATATGGTTATATTGTCCTTTTGAGGTCGGCGATAGGAGCAACATCAACTAATAAATCTGAGGCCAAAATAAATTTTTCAGTGAATAGCATCTCCAAAATAGAATTTAAAAGAATTAAAATAATAAACTCAAATAATCGTGTAAAATAATTGAAAAGATGATAATCCAATATAATAACTTCATAAATCTATAAATCATAGTCATAATCATGAAATGAGAGTAAATTGGAAACACTTTATTCTATCCTGGTTAAAGAAAACAAATGACTCGTACACAAATCAAAACAGTACAATTGTTAATTGAAGCCATTGGAATTTCGAATGAGTGAGTTTCAAAATTCAAATTTTTGAGGACTTAACAGAACAGGTAACAAATGTGGACACACAGTCCACAAGAGAAAATAACCAAATGCGGCTTATGCCATGAAAACAGATGTGAACACACAGTTCACGGGGGTAAGTAACCAAATGCAACCGAAACCACGAAACAAACGTGGACACACAGTCCACGAGGGTAAGGATAACCAAACACGGCTCAAGGCCATGAAATCAAATGCGGGTATAAAGCCTATAAATACCAAACATGAGAACAAAGCCCACAAGACAAACTAGCTAGTTATTAACCACATAGCGCTACGAGCTAACAGAATTGCCGTTAGTGATAGTGTTATACTTAAAGTCCTCGTAAAATCACTTTTCAAACATGTGAGAATAATCATTTTTGAAATACAATTTGCATTCTCAATATCACACTCACATGAATCATTTCAAATCTCAAAGCTTGCTAGAATAATATTTCATAACTAATGTACAAGCTTGTATTAGTTGAGTAGCTAAGAATTTTTAGAGTAAAATAAACAAAGATGCCTCCATCGATCTTGAAAATATATTTTGTAAAGAAAAATACATACATATACCATAATTTAATTAACTTTCACCATCATTCTAAGATTTTCAGAACCAAAAGATTTAATTAACAAAGTACATAATAATCATCATAATTGTTAAAATGATTTATATGAAAATGTAATATTTTCAAAAACAGACTACTTTTATTGAAAAATAATGGGGTGTTATTCACTTACTTGAAATTTTTAGAATTTAAATTTCTCCTTTCAACTTTAATCGAATTTCTCTACTTCCAAACTCCCTATAATCATATTAAAATTTTATTTAACCCTCAACCAGTATAATAATTCCTTTTTCCAACCTCACTCACATCCAATATTAAACTATAATACATTTGAATTTTGTTTTAAATCCTCACTAGCATTTGGTCAAGGCACCAAACATAAATCATTTCCAATCTCCTCATAAAAATGCTGGCATTCAATATTTCATCAACAACTATTCATCTTCGAAAATAAAAAAAATCACATTACAAATTTCTAAGACAAATATTCTTTGCAATATCGAAATTAAATTTTATACTTCCCACAAGAATTAATGAATCTCCATAAACATCCAAAAATCAAGTTCAATTTCTACTAATAAGCACTTCAACAATCACCTTACAGTCATCTTTTATCAAGTTTCATATCTCATCTCTTGTAACATAATCCTAACCAATTCTTCATTATCAACCAATTTAAACCAAATGAATTTAACTCAAAAGTTGACCCATATGTATATCATTACCAAGCTTTAAGTCAATTTTTTTTCAGCTCAAATTTGCACCTTCTTCTTCCTATAACGCACAGCCAACAGTAACAGAACAAAAAAAATGTTGTAACTAAACACACAAAGCAACAGCAGCACACACACTCATAAGATTAGCACATGATCAGCAGGCAATAGATGGAAGGTCTAAAATTCCTCACCTCAACCTAGGTAGCTTGAACAGTGGCGGACAGAGAGGGA